AATATAATAATAATAATAATAATAATAATAATAATAATAATAATAATAATAATAATAATAATAATTATTATTATTATATATTACCTAAAAAACTTCCGCACATGAGGGACGTGACTTTAACAGAGATCATCTCTCGACCTAAAAGACAAACGGCGGAAGATTGCTACAGAGAAGGTTTGAGTAATCACGATGAAAGATACCGCCATATTGTTGCTGTCATTACTATTAATTGCTATGTTGCTGAAAGACGAAACACGACATTTATTCATATTCAGAACCTCCGCGCCTCCCCCCCCCTCTCTCTCTGTCTGTCTGTCTGTCTGTCTGTCTGTCTGTCTGTCTCCCCCACTTTAACTCTTTCTCTTGTCCCCCAAGCCTGGTGGATGCCGAGTCTGCCCCGGTACAGGCCCGGAAGGTTTACACAGGGGAGACAATTGACCACGAACGATATCACTCTTACGAGTCGGTGAGAACCATAGATCTACACTCTTAGAGTTAGATATTAGGTTTAAAAAGGGGATAACTCTAGGTGAGAACATGCTTGTTGTGGCGTCGGTGGCTTAGTGGTTAGGCTCTCAGTCTCGCAACCGTAAGGTCGGGAGTTCGAATCCCGTCAGGGGCCCGACGTTATGTCCTTGGGAAAGGCATTTTACACGAATGTTCCTCACTTCACCCAGGTGGGAATGTGTACCCGGCTATTTTCGACAGCGAAAGATCTTGTCAGTTTGTTGGTGTTTGAACGTTTAATCGGATGCTTGCACTGTATGCTTCCCGGGGAGCTGAGAATGTTTCTGAGTGCTCTATGGTATGCTGGGGTAAAAGTATAGTGTGTAAAGCGCATAGAGCCTGCTGTTGAGCGGGGGTATGTGCTATACAAACCCGATTTATTATTATTATTGTAGTCCCTGAATCGATCAAATCCTGTATGAAAGACGAATTGTCAAATAATACAGTAGATCTAAGACAATTCTCCAAAGATATTAATACAATTATGATATCAAAGATTAAATGTCAAATGTAGTAGACGAAAGATTTTTCATCAAAGATGATAATGATTTATGGTATATCAATTTAATCAAAGATAATTCATCAAAGATGATAATGACTTATCAAAGTTGCTTTTGGAATTGCAGATCCAGGTTGTAAAATATCATTTGTTGGATGCTACAACAACACATACATATTTTTTACAAATTGTCCAACACTGAGAATGTAACGATCAATAGAAACAACTTACTGAAAGTATGATGATGACTGAGAAATAAGACTGCTTCCAGCTTCTCAGATCCCAAGTTGGTTTGGCCAGAGTCTAGTTAATAAAACAATGACGGTAAAATTGCAGAACAAAGTTGTAAAACAAAATTATGTGTTTGTTGTTCTAACAAGACACAAACATAAATGGATAGTTTCAAACACTAAGAGAGTAACGACCGACATAAAAAGTTGCTTAGGAAATTTGAGTGAAACAGAAATAAGGCTGTTTTCAGATTCTCAGAGTTAAACTAAGCTTGGCTACAGTCTCATTAGTATATATTTGCTTGTATAAATGCAAACCCAGGTTGTTTTAGCAAAATAATACAACGCTGTCGCTAGTTTTACTCACAGTAGCTTCTGGGGATGCCTATGTGGCGAAACGCTTTAAACAGATTATTTTTCTTGAATTTTGTATTAATATTTTATGACTTAAAAAATCAGTGAACATCCTTCAAACCTATTTTGTTTTTAAAGTAAATAAATAAATAAATAAATGATGATTATGATGAAGAAGAAAAAGAAGAAGAAGAAGAAGAAGAAGAAGAAGAAGATGATGATGATGATGATGATGATGATGATGATGA